TGATCAGTGCACACAGCACTGTGGGTGGGCTGGTTTACAAAGTCGAATCAGCCCTGATCCTCCTGTCTCCCTCTCTAAAAAACCCATGGGGCAGGATTGGGCCCATCTGAGAAACCCCTACTCTCAAGATCCTTAACTTAACCACATCTGCAAAGTTCCTTTTGCCATGTCAGGTATCATATTCACAGGTTCCAGGGAGCGGGGGTCACTTTATCATGAACTGAAAACAGCCCTGACAAATTGGTTCTTTCCAATTTCAGCTAATTACATGCCTCCCCACCAGGGTTATTTTGGAGCCTAGGGCTCCTGACTAACTGTCTAGAAAATAGTAGGAGATCTGTGTCCCAAGGACCTTTCACTGGGCCTTTGCCTTGTCCATGCTCAGGAATTTTCCTGAATTTGTCATTATCTATGAACTTTAGACACCAAGTAGGAAGAAGAAATTTTAATGCAAGTTGAAAAGATTGACTGTGATATGAACATATGCCCAGAAATGTGGTAAGGACAAAATCCAAGAGCCTGAATGAACTTTGTGTTTGCAAATGTGTGGCTACACCCAGGTCTCAGGGTGTATTCTTCATGAATATCTTTTGTGTGTCTCTTCTCCTCCTACATCACRGAGCCTGAAAGTCACTAGTCCTATCACAACTAAGCTGGCAGAGGTGTGCTGGGAACATGGCAAGAAGCACCGGAAGGCCCAGTGTCTATGGTGGCCGGCAATTCGTCTGTTTCATATCTAATCTTGGTGCATTTGTTTTATTTCAGGGAAAACTCGATGCCTTGTGGGTCCTACTAAGAAAAGGATATGATCGTGTGTCGGTGATGCGGCCACAGCCAGGAGACACGGTAGGAGTCTTAGTCTTGGTAGAGCTAGAACTCCATGTATATAAGTCCAACTATTAGTTCATATTGTGACAAATCAGATACTCATTTTCAAAATTCTGGTTTTCATAAGACAGAAATACCTCGGGTTTAACTTCCTAGAACTTGAGAGAGCAGGGCTGGCCCACACTTTGGGCAGTCCCAAGAGGGAAGCCTGCTGATCCTGAGCCACAGTGGCCAGGGGTGAGGAACAGAGTGACAGTGTCACACAAAAGGGTGAAWGAATAAGGGCCACAGAGAACTCCTGCCACTTTCCAGCAGGTGTTGGGTCCATAGGGAGATCTAATACCCTGGGTGTGGAATTTATCCAGAACTGATAGGGATAAGCTTGGAGTGTCTCCAACTAGGAAGTGGTTTTAAAGGAAGAGACAGAGGGAGACCTTAGAGACCATCCAGCCCATGCCTTCATTTTGTAAATGAGGAAACAAGGAAAGTTACATAACTTGTACTGGTTCAGAAAGCAAACAACCATGCTGGAAGCAGCCTCAGTTCCATTGAAATCATAGCATTGCTATTTCTTCTCGTAAGAGCTAGTCTCTCCTCCACAATTATTACAGAGCAAGACTTGGGACAAAATTCTGCCTCCACTGCCAGCAACCTGCATCTTCCATACACATCCTTGGGAATCAGGCCCACTTAACCAAAAGCAATATAAAGCTGTCTAACCTTGAATTCTTTTCAAATCAGTCAAACTTGGGATTGAAAATCACTTTTTCTTGACTGGAAGTCACCCAACCTCTCGGTATTTCATCTTTATGAAGCAGATAACAACAACTGCTTCATAGTGTGACAAATGCTTCATGCATCTGGCCCGCTGCTGAGCATTCAATGACTCTCCATAGGTGAAAAATATGATTATTTGTGGTGTGCTCTTCTGCTGTCTGTGGATGCTTGATGCACAAATTCAAGCCATGTTGCAATCTGTGTGGATTAGATGTGTCTCATCATTGCCTTGCCCCCTTCAATATGACATCACCAACAAAATGGAGTGAAGCCTGGTACACAGGTCTCTTATACCTGGTGACATTGGGCATTTTGAGGTTGAGGGAATTTGATCTGAAGTTTCATAGTTTGTGCAAACTACTGACCAGCTGACTGTTTATGCTCCAAGTAGTAACTGGGACAACAGAAAGGTGTTATGAAACCAGTTTATATAAGTGTTGGGTCGACTGGGCCCTTAATGGCATATGGAATTTGTATTTTTTTTTCTGTGAAAGTCAACTAGAACCAATTTCTATAGCAACTTATAAAATGAAAACTCTACAATTAACAGAAGTGAGCATAGGTTATAACGTTAGTACTCAGGGAGGGTGTTTGGTTCTATAGATGTTATATCTGTTTTCTGTGGAAAATGAAATATTTTTAGCATTCATGAGACTCATCTAATAGATTAAGAAAAACAATAGTAAGATATCTGAAGAAGGGTTCAGCAGTACCATTTTGTTACAAAACATACTGATTTCATGGACAAACCTTTTTTTTTTCTTTTTGAGCAACTGAAAAACATTTCCCCTAACATTCCATTCCCCACTGACCAGTTTGGCAGAAACAAATCCACAAACTGGGTCAACAGAAGAAGTAGAAGGAGTGTTGGAAAGAGGAAGGATAAGAAGAAATATCATTAATAGGATATAAGAACCAATAGTGTTTAGGGCACAAGTCTGATTGTGTAAATCCAAAAACAATGGAATGAAGACAGAATTTAATTTCCTCTGAGTCACACCTAAATTGAATCTCTTCCTCTTTACTAATTCTGAATGAAAGTCTATATTAACATTTGAATGAGAAACACAATACCAACTTGAATTCTCCTTCCCAGTCACAGAAAATAATAGATTTAAAGAATAGGAAGTCTTTAAGGACAGAATAGGTTTGAACATATCATTAGCCCTCTCACAGTTTATGACTATTCAGTTTACTTTAAAATGGGCTTCCTTTATAGAAATCCTGCCAAAATTGCAAGATACATGGGGGAAACAGATGCAGAGAATTGTGTCCATGTGTTCATGGAGACAGCCATAGACTTCTTTGTGGGCACATGGAATTACACAAGAACAGTCACAGAAGAAGTAGGAGCGGGAATCCAAAGCTGCCTTATGGCTATACAAAAAAAAAAAAAAAAAATTTAGGGTCAAGGAGGACCACAATATAGTTTGGTCTACATGCTCCCTCTGCTTTGTTTTACATAAGTTTAACAGACTCATTACAGACCTGCATGTCTTACACGGTGATGACTTGAAGAATTCCTCAGCTCTGATTTATGGGACTGACCACATTTTCCATAAACTCCAAATGACTACATCCAGCCACGTGCTGGTGAACAAGAGTCACAGGTTCTGAATTTTTCCTTCAAAACAAAACAAAAACAAAAATCACCTAATTTCATTCTCAGGGAYGTTCTAAATGGCTTCAAACACATGTTGACCTCGTACAAACCTGGCAACTCTTCCTCCTCAGTTCCTGCCTGCTCCAACCTCCTCCCTGCTAACACACCCCTCACTAGGGATGTCAGCACAGACCACCAGCAGAGCCCCTGAGACAGCCCAAAGGMCTGAGTATCTCCAGCACCCACCCCAGAGCGGGGGCCGAGAGGCCTGAACCCAGAGCTACCATCCTTCCCAGGAACTGGCACCCAACCTCGGAGTTGGCCAAACCCCCATGTCAGGGAAAGAATGAATGGGCGGGAAGGAGACATGACGGCTTCCATCTATGTCACCTGTTTTCCCCTTTCAGCAGGGGTGGGCTCCAGTGTTTCTTAGAAGCCCCCAGGAAATCCCTGGGCCAACGTAAAAGAGAAAACACCAAGAGRAACTTTTAAGTAGCAAACCAGTAACATGTCTCTTCCTGAAATTTTGCAAGTTTACTAGGCATATGGTGTCCTTTGCCTAAACCATCCCCTTACTTCCAGTAWATAGCTACTGGGTGCTCTTTCTAAAACATGGAACTCAACATGCCCTTCTCGGCTCCAGAGTTGCAAAAAAAATGGGAAAAGTCCCAAATCCTTAACTTGGTTTAGAAAGGCCTACTGTTCTGGGCTGGGGTTGTGGCTCAGTGGTAGAGTGCTCACTTAGCACATGTGAGGCACTGGGTTCGAACCTTAACACCACATAAAAAAATGAAATAAAGATGTTGGGTCCACCAACAAATAAAAAATAAATATTAAAAAAAAAAAGAAAGGCCGACTGTTCTACTTAGTCTGCTACTTACCCCAGGTACACTCCTTAGGAAGGATTAATTCCTCACTAAGCCCTGGATGTTCCTGTCTCTTTACCTTTTTACATTCTAGTTTTTGTGCTTTGAATTCCTTTCTAATCTTCTCTACTTAATAAGCTTCTATTAACTTGGTAATATTGTTCACCATTTCCATGGTGTCCCTGTAAACATTAAAAGTTGCTGGCTAGACYTATGCTTTAAAGAGGACATTGCCAAAGCAGAACACACTGGACAGAGACTRAGTGAGGACGTGTCTTTCCAGGATGGTCCCCAAGGCTTCCTACACACGTGGGCCACTGTTTGAGTTTAGAAAATGTGTTCATCTTCCAAGGACAAGTGATTGAAGGAATTGAGAATGTCTGATCTGAGAAAGCAGATTTAAAGGAACCGTGAGAACTTCTTTAATTGATGGTTTCTTGGAGGTCCTGTTATGCCTCTCAGCTCAAACCTGTTTTTTAATCACTTCACCACATTCAAGGAGTAGGCTTTCACACCATCGAATGTCCTTGCCTAATGTCATTTTAAAAGATTGTGTTTCACTGTATATCCACCTTTTTTGGATATTTATTTCCAAGTATTTGTTATTATAAATGAAGACACAATCAGTATCCTTATCTTCAAATCATTGTACACATTCATGAATATATCCTTAGGTGAGAGTCCAGCTTTCTACTGGATCAAAGGGTGTGGAAAATTTTAAAGCTTTTGTATGTATTGCCAGGTTGCCCTCCTGAAAGATTGTACAAATTAACCTTCACGCCAGCATCTGTAAGAAGTTCATTTCCCCAGAKGTTCACCAGCATTACTGAACATGATAGATGCTCATTTCTTTTTCACACTTTCTATTGCTAGTAAAGTGGAACAATTTTTCAAATGCTTATTTTTTTTTCTCTTTTATCAATTGCCTGTACAGGCTGTTGGCCCATTTCCCTATTAGATATTTTAGGGTTGGTTTTCATATGGTTATTTTCCTAATTCATCTTCATTCATATGTTAATCAAATATTTTGAAGGTCTACTGTATGTTAGGCCCTGTGCTATGCATTAAGTATATAGTGCTTACTCATGAAACAAAGTCTAGCATTATATAGAGAGTGCCAACTTTTTTCTATTCTGTTGTTTATCTTTTAATTTTTTAACAATATATTAAAGTTATAGGTAATATAATTATTAGATAATTTATCTAATAGCTTGATTAAATTCACATTCTTAAGTTATCTAGTAATTTTATCAAATATGTAAATCTTTGTAATTTCTGCCTTTGATGTCAAACAGTCTTCCACACTCCAAAATTTCCACAAAATTTTTCTTCTACACTTACCTCTCAGTATTAGTTTGGGGCAATAATGTACGTTGTTGCTTCTTCTGTATTTTCCTGAGTGTTTCAGAGGAAATTTGAGAGCTATCCTGTTATGTGTCATATTAAACTAGAGGTCCTCATTATATTAACTGGAAGCCATAACAGAATACTGTTATGCCAAACCAGAACAGTATCTTATATCTTGGACATGTTGAAAGTGATTTAGATTTACTCTGGGTCATTGCGATAGACAGAACCAGTACTATGGGTAGATGCTCCAGCAAAGCAGATTTCATCTTAAGGAACTGAAGAATGTGAGTTTTAGCAACAGAACAAGGGGTACCAAAGACAGATGCCCCAGTAACTAACCTTACCACAGGGGGTAAAACACAGTTCTAAGTCTAAGTCAATATTTCTCTACTATTTAACCACCAAGTTATTGTTCTCCTATA